CTGGTGACGCAAAGGGCGTGGTTTTGGAAGTAGCCAGAAACCCTGTGGCCCTAGGCCGGAAAGGACGGTGGGTGGTCAAGCCGGGGAAGCCCCCACGGGTGGCCGTCACGATTTCTCTGTCGCTGGCCTCCAGGCTGGCCTGGGCAGGTGGGAGCAGCATTTCCAAATGGCTGTGTGTCCCGGCTTCCTGCCAGGCGTCCGGGGCGCTCTCTGGGGAAGTCCCACTGCCTGAGAGGGCCGTGCTGCCCAGGCACGTGCCGGCGGGGTCACGGCGTCTCGGCCGTGGTTTATGTCAGTGGGGGTGCTTCCTTCTGTGTCAGGGTTTCCTGAGAAGCTTCAGGAGGGGCCCACGTGCAAAGCAGGTTCCACTTCCTGCTCCTCCCATCTCAAGGGGACTCCAGTGCAGGTGAATGAGACCTGCCACCCCTGTGCCCACGGGCGACCAGGTGTCCTGTAGGGTTTCCTCAAATCAGTGACAAGTGGTTTTGGGGGCCCGGCCTCACTTCCCTTCTGGGGTGCTCCCAGAGCTGCTACCGTGCTGTGTCCCCTCCCACGATGCCCAGGACTGTGTCCTCTGTGCCAGCGTGGGCTGTTTCCCCAAATGCCTCATCCAGAGGCCCCGCCAGCGGCCACTGAGGCTGTGGCCAGCCCCGAGGAGGGCCTCTGCCCCTGTTCATCCTTCAGGGGAAGCCGGCCTGAGCCCCTTGCCCTCCCGTCTCCCCTTCTGCCCAGAGCAGTGTCCAGTCCTTCCCCATGTCACTTCTCCTAGAGTATCAGTGTTTCCCCGACAAACCTGCCAGCCCACACAGACCACCCCAGGCTGGGGGAGCTCCCCAGGCCTGTAAAGGGCCCACACTCCTTCTGGGGGTGCGGTCCACTCGGAGGAAGGGAGGATGCTCGGAGCACAGAGCCCACATGTGTGCCTCCCCCACCAGGCCCACCCCCCTGACCTGCTGCGCTGTGGCCTGGGCTCCCAGATGGCTGTAGGAGGTAGAGGAGTGGGCACCGACCTGGCAGCCACGTCCCGTCGACAGTGGCCCTGCTGTGAACCAGATGCCTGGGGTGGCTGGCGCCCCTGTGAGCTGCCCTGTGTGCTGCCCTGTGTGCGCTGCAGGGAAGTGAGGGGTTTGCTCTCAGGGGCTCTGGGGGCTGCAGGCTGACTGGCTCTCTCCAAGGGTCTCTAACTTTCGGGAGCATAAGGGAGTGGGCAGATGGGCCAGTCGCCCCAGCTTCCTGGTGACCGCGAGGACCTGCACGTAGCCCCGGGAGAGGGATAAATATTTATGGTGAAAGGGCCCAAACACTCCGCAATGCCAGATACTGTCCCCGCTGTGGCGGTTTCTCTCCAGGCAAGTGGTTTCATGTCCTGCCAAGGCGGTGTTTGCAGAGCTCCCCGACCACTCACTGTGTGCAGCGCACGGCACACACCACGCTTCCCGGAAGCGGCCCTGTTTGTTTGTGGGGTCCGGGTCCCCACGGCTCCCACGGCTCCCCAGGGCCGAGCCCCAGCACGCCCGGAGGCTGTTTTGTTTCCTGGACACAGACAACAGTCCAGGCCCTGCGGCCACTCCCAGGGGCTCCAGGGCACTTGACCCCAATGGCTGTTGGCTGGGCCTGGGTCACCGTTCCTACAGACAGTGGTGGGGGCTGGGGTGGGGGTTACTGGGCCTGAAGGCTGCAGGGTGGCCGGCCTCCCTCCCTGCTGTCACCCCCACCCCCACTTCTGCATGGCCAGCCTTGTCTTCATAAACACAACGACCTCACAGCCATGGGACCCGAGGGCGTGTGCAAAGACCTTATTTCCAGATAGGGCCCCCGGTCACAGGCTGTGGGGTGGGCATGGACTTGGGGGGGACACTGCTCAGCTGGCACAAGCAGTAAGAGACACGGGGGTGAGCGGGTAGGGGGCAGTTAGCTCTCCGTCTTGCTGACCCTCACAGGTGAGGGGTGGAGGTTGTTTGGGCAGGGGAGGGGTGCGGAAGGGGAGTCGGGGTGGCTCCTGGGAGAGCTGGTTGGGCCAGGTCCTTGGGCTCTGTTGTGACCCACTCTCTGAAGCGGAAATGGAGTTTTCTGGGAGGGCAGAGACCCTCTGAGATCTGACGCCCAGCTGAAGAGGGACCAGGTGTAGGAGCCCTGGGGTGCGGGGTGTAGCCAAACGGGGAGCTGTGTGGGTTGTGTACGACTGACCAGGGCACCCTCTGCCTCCCACCCTGGCTTCTGCTCCAAGTTCATGGCCACAGGGTGACTCCTGGAGGTGGGAGAGGTGGCACCTTGCTGGCTGATCCACCAAGACCGTCCTGCCCACCGTGAGGTCGGCGATGCCCAGAGAGGCGGGACGGGCTGGGGCTGGGAAGACCGCCTTGCAGAGGGCAGCCCGGAGTGCCTGGGCTTCCAGGGCCCTTGAGGTGCAGGTGGCCTGGGGCAGCCTCTAGATTTGGGGAGGGGACAGACGGAAGGCCCTCCGTCCTCCTAGTGAGCTGGTTCCTGCTTGGCCCTGGCACCACTTTCCTCTGTCCCCTCCCTGTGCTGGGCCCCAGGCTGGAGGCATCTGGCTGCCTACTTCCGGGGGCCCCACCTGGAGCCCCCTCCCAGCTGCTGGGTGGGGCTCTGCCTCCCTCTGGTCAGCCTTTGTCAGGGCCGCACCCGTCTCGTCTGAGCAGGAACCAGCCGTGGACCCAGACCACCCTGGCCACCAGGCCGTCCTCCCGGGGAAGCGCTCTGGCCTTGGTTCTGTGCTGAGCATATCGAGTTCTCCTGCTGCTGCCCACAGCTGCGTCCTCCTGGTCACCTTGTCTCCCCACCTCAGCCCTGCACTCCTGGGGTGGGGGGGACCCTCCTCTGGGACGCTCCGGGACAGCCCCGCTGCCCACCTCCTTGGTGCACTGGTGGGCACAGAGCCTGGGCTCTAAACAGACACCACCCGTGGCACGGCCCGCCCAGCACTGGGCCCCTCGGGCCACTGGGCCCATTCCAGAAGCCATTCTTGTCCTTGGCTGGGCACTTCGCGTCTGACTGCCCCAGGCCCTCCAAGACTGTCCCTGTGATAGGGCCAGGTGCAGGCATGACGTCCAGCTCGGAGCCGGGACTGCCATGGGGGAGAGGGAGCAGGTATGGTGTCACTGAAGGTTGCTGGTTCCAGGATGGCGTGTACCCCCAGGCTGGCCTCAGGACGCGGGCCTTCCAGCCACCCCGAGCCTCCACCTGCTCAGCTGTGAAATGGGGGCGGTCAACCAGTGGGGGAGGGGACGCAGCGAGAGCCAAAGCTGTGGGTAAAATGCCGAGAGCGCTGGTCTCTGGGCGGTAAACGCTCCCTTTCTCCCTTGTTTTCTAGAACTGTCTACTACACGGGCTACAGGCAGGTGTACGCCATGGAGGCCCAGACCGTGCTGAGGTGCTGCCCAGGGTGGAGCCAGCAGCCCGGCCACCAGGGCTGCCTCTCCGGTGAGTGTCCCCGCCCACCTGCCAGCCCCTGCAGACACTAAACCCTGCCTCAGGAGAGGCCGCATCTAACGGGGGATGTGCCTCCCAGCTGCCACGGGAGACAGGCAGCATGAGACAGCCAGGGCCACTCAGTCGTTTTGCTCACCAAAGTCTGTTAAAATGAAATAATACAAGAAAGAAGGAACATTGGATTACCACCATGCCAATGCTGGCAGGAGTCCAGGAAAGAGAGAGCCGGATGGTGGGGGCGGCCTGAGGGCATAGGGCGGCCTCGGGGGCCACGCGTTGGTGTCAGTGGTCTCAGGTATCTCTGAACCTGGTTCGGGGTCAGTGTCATGGAGTGTGAGCCCTCGCCCGCCCACCCCGCCATGCCCACACCCCTGCTCTCAGGGTCCTTTTGCCACTTTGTTCCAGAAAGGCCCCGCTGGGCATTGGGCCTGTCTTGTCAGCTGCTGGATGGAGTCGCCGACTCCCTCTGAGGGGGGTCCTGGTGGACGCAGCAGGGAGGGGAGCCCCCGGGTCTCGACACATGTGAGGGCACTGCACGGCATGGCCCCCGGCAGGCGCTGGTGGACACAAGCGGGCCGCGGTCCCGAGAGGCGTGCTGGGGCTGGAATCGGGCTGTCTGGTCCCAGCAGGCGGCTGTGAGGCCTCTGCTTGTAAAGGAGGGGCTTGCGGTGCGGAGTCCGCAGGTGAGGCTGACCGGGTGAGGAGCCAGCAGCCCTTCCCCGGAGAGGTCGGCTCTTGGCGTCCCCTGAAACAGTGACGTGGCATCAGTGAAGAGAGGGGTGGCTGGGGTTAACCGCGGGTGGGCTGTTCTGCGGCTGGAACGGGAACCAGACTTCAGGGTTCAAGTCGCCGCCTGTCCTCATGGCCTCTGGGTCCCTTCCTCACACAGGAAACGTGAGGGCAGAAGACGACCTTACATGAACTCCAGGGGAAAAGGGGAAAGGAAAGGATGTGGTGATGTTTTTCCAGGAGAGGAAATGGATAATTCCCTCCAGGAAGAGAGCTGGGGGACGGAGGAGAAGCAAGGGCCCGGGGCCCTCTGTGGGCAGCGGGGCCGGCGGGGGCCGGTGGATGCCGGCCAGCGGCCGTGGGTGGGGGCTCCCGCCCGACAGCGGCCCTCTCTCCAGGGCTCTGATCGCAGTGCTGATGTGTGCTGTCCTCCACGGCTGGCGTCTGGGAAAACAAAGGGGTCTGTTGAGTGGGGTGCAGGGCAGACATCAAAGCCAGGTCCCCGGTTTCCGCTCTGCTGTGGTGGGGGCTTCTCAGGCCTGCCAAAGGTGACTCCAGCCATCTGTGACACAGTGGGAGCTAGACCTACGTCCCGGGGTTTAGTGGTCGGGGTGGGGGTCTGGGGGGAGGCATGGCCTCCCACACCCAGGAAGGGACATGAATGCGTGACCATGTGGCCAGTGGGCCCCCTGGGCTGGGGGAGGGAGCCAGGGTAGGTCCAGGCTTGCTCAGCAGCGGTCCCATGATTGTGTCCACTCCACACCCGAGTGGGGTCCCGTGGCTCTTGGTTTCTCCTGGGTCTGGGAGTGACCATCCAGGATTGGGCAGGTGGCAGGGCCGAGGGCCGGCCTCACCCCGGGGGGCCAGGTTGGCCTCTGCCCACTGAGAAGACAAGCCCAAGTGCTGGCTTTTCGGGAGCTCGAGGCCAACGTCGCAGCAGTCCACAGGGCCGGGGGCTGTGACAGTTTCTCTTCCCCAGTTTGGCTCAGCCTGAGCTCTAGCCTGTCTGCAGCTCTGTCCGCCCGGCAGGCCTAGGGGCTCTGCGTGGCCTGGCAGCCGGCAGGAGCGAGGGTGGAGGGGAGCCTGGGGCCTGAGCCCGCCCAGGACCAGAGCCAGGCAGCACCTTGCATGGCGCAGGGTTGGCCAGGACCCTCCCCGGGGCAGCAGGTGTGCGGGGGCAGGGCTGGGGGCAGGGCTGGGGTGGTGAGGAAATCGGGGGGGTCTCAGCCACTGGGCCTGGCCTTAGGGTCCAGGCTGTCCCATCAGCCAGGAGACACGGGGCAGGATCCCATGGGCAGGGTCCCCATGGGACTGGGTCCCCATCTGGAACTTGAAGTTTTGGCTTTTTTGGTTGTTTGTTCTTAAAAATTCATTTTTAAGATGGGGTTTACTTGTTTATATATTTGGTTTTATCTGTTTGTTTCAGCGACCCGGGAAAAGCCCGGTGGCCTGGCCTTCCAGGACGCTCACGTGTGCCCTGTGTCTAGGTTGTGAGCATGTGAGGGGGCAGTGGGGGTTCACGCAGGCCAGCGCAGGAGCCGGGGTGCCGCCCAGGGTGGGGGTGCCCACACCGGCTCAGTGTGAGGCAGCAACGCCCAGAAAGTACTTACAGACAGTAATGGAGTCGTTTCGCTTATGCTCTGAACTGAATATCAGAAAGTGATTAAGGTGCTAGGATGAATTAAGATCAAGTGATCATTTTATTGGGTTCGTTCACTTTGTCTATCAGAGGACATTTCAATCATGTAAGATTCCCAAGAAGAGGCTCCCTGAGGTGTGGATTTTGCTTGTCACTGTGTCTTCTGCTTACTCCAGAGCAGGCTCGCAAAGATCAATCGGATAGTGTTTATTTACGTATGAATAAATCTTATACACACAGGCACATGCTGGGGGCTGGTTGGCGATGATTTCATTTGCATTCTCAGCTCTAAAGCAACTGGCTTGCAATTTTGATGGTGACCCCAAGAGCTGCTTTTGGGACTAGAGAAAGCTAATTACGCCGTGGAGATGTGCAGCGAATGTCAGGATTAGTCAAGGGCCTTTGCAGAAGCACCTGCCGTGGAGAAGCAGTTACCTGACAAGAATAGCCGTCTCCCGCTCGCAGTGGAGGCAGTTTGGGGCTTGTTGGGAAACTCCCGCGATGGACCGTCTCTCCGTGTGAGAACCGAGTCAGGGCGATCCTTCCTGCCTCAGCACGCATCTAGTCAGCATGATAACAAGAATTACTGACTCGCCCACTCACGACCTTCTGTCGGGGGCAGCATCAGACTCATTGCCCAGCGAGCGACAGGATGCAGGGAGAAGCAAGCTGATAACAAGGGCACCGTTTTAACGATTCCGTTCAGAACTCCTGCTTTTTAAGAACTGAAGCCGGTGCTGGAGGTGTCTTAGAAAGGAGGCGGGCTTGTGGGAAAGTTCCTCTTTTTCTTCTGGTTTTAGCGCTGTGCTCTGCACCCTCTAGGACCGGCCACATGGACATTTGCTTAAGTGACATCTGAAGGCACGCAGGACACCTTTACTTCCCTTTAGACTGAAATGGACTGGTCGTCGATTCTTTCATCGTCCTGTTTGAAATAGCACGGTTCCACTATGTGTTTGTTCACTCATTCATTCATTTGTTCAGTTTTTGCTCAGCTGCTTTCAAGCACTGGGGATTCAGAGGAACCTGGTGGGGCAGGGCTGCCCGTGGGGAGCTCAGGTCTCACTGGGACGCTGGCCGCTAGCAGACACTGAGGCTGTGACGGGGCACTCGGGGCCAACCTGTGGACAGGTGAGGCCAGCCGGATGGGGCTTGGAGGGTTCAGGAGCTGGCTGGAGCCCAGAGCAGGAGGAGGTGTGGGGGCTATTGGAGCTGGCCGGGGTGTCTGGGGAAGGTGGGCAGCATGCAAGCCTTCCTCCGTCTCAGCTCCCCTCTGCTGGGAGACGGCTTCTCCCCGAGAGCCCCGCCCTTGTGGTCAGTCTGCCTCCCTCCCCTGGCCTCAAATTCCCACCCTTCTCGGAGTGAGCCAGTGCTGGAGCCCCCAGCCAGTGGGAGGCCCTGCCTGGGTGGGTCAGGTGAGAGCTGGGGTGGCTGCTTTGGTCCCCTTCCGGCCAACGTGCCTACAGGCGTCAGGGATGAGGTCTGGGTCCTCCGAGCTTCGGAGCAGAGAGGATGGTGAGCAGAGAGGATGGTGCCGAAGACGCCCCCTACCCTGTGGGGGCGGGGCTGCCTTCCTGCAGAGGGGCCCCAGAGTCAGGTTCTCCGGCTTTGCTTTCACCCCACCCCACCCCTTTCTTACCCTCTGCCCCTCCCCTCCTTTCTCTATCACCCTCCAGCCCTGCCAGCCCCTGCCCACCATCCCCGTCTAGGCTCTGTGGCCAAGGCACTCCGAGAGGTAGTCAGGCTGGGGCAGGGCGGGCAGCGCGCGGCCCATGAGCAGCTGACACCACGGCCCCCGCCATGGTGACATTTCCTTGCTTCAGTGTGACCTGGAGACGAAGGCGCGTGTGGGACAATGTCAGGCGCCCACGTGGTGTTTGTGTAGGGACGCAAAGGCGTAATGCCCGTGCGAGAGAATGGCAGGAAGCTTCTAATGGTGTTAGGATTCCTCCGAGGCCCACTTAGCGGCGTTGTGACCGGGAGGTGACCAAAAAGAACAAGTGCTGGCTGGGTGGGGCCGTGGCACCTGATGACCAGGGGCTTCCCCGGGTCCTTGTGGCCTCTGCACTTGCCCCTGGGGGCAGCTAGGCTCCGACTGCTCCTCCTGCTTTTAGGGTCCAAATCCTTCCTGCTCAGTAGCTTTCTGAATTCCAGTTGGGGGCACATTTTTCCTGGCCACTCAGGGTGTTTCAGTCGTAGCTGCCCCGGTCCTGGCTCCCCCTCATCGAAGGATGAGGTGACTGACAGCTCTATCCCCAGGCCCCCCGCCCCCCACACACAGACTCTGAGATGGACACAGCTGGGCATAAGGTACCAGAAGGCTGCCTGCTCTCACGTCCGGGCGAGCAGGGCTCAGTCCCTCCGAGGCGGCTGCAGGATGGAGAGATGGGCCCCAAGGAGGCGCCAGGAGCTGCGCCGACAATGTGGGCTGTGAAGAGCTCTGGGGAAGGGCTTTGTGGTCCTGGAGGCTGTGCGTACGTAAAGCACAGGTAACCGGGTTCCATTTTTACAGGATTTCTCAGAGCCTTTCCTATGCTAACGGGCACTGTGGATTCCTGAGGCAGACTCTGTAGGGTTTTCCAAACTAATTCTAAAGAAAGGAAGAAAAAGTAACAACGAAGCC